TAGTTGTACTGTAAGTGTTAAGCTTTGTATTTATCACTTATAAATCAACCAGAAACATAGTTACTGTATAGCAATGAAGAGAATATGTTTTCTGTTATAGTTGGTGTCTGTCATAATCAGCAGAGCAGAAAAGATAGGCCTGCTAAGAAAATGAGGTCCTCAATTCTCTGGTTTTAATGTTTATAACTCCTCAAATGTCAAACGTTATATCACACAAAAGAAGACAGAACACAAGTTCACACAATTAGCATTTTGATGACTCAAATCTACAGTACAATACAGTGAAGGAAAGTGAAAACTGCAACACTAGCAAGAGCTACAATGAAAGCTTTTATAAGAAGAGGGCTCTTGCCAGTGCATGTCCTTCCTCTTTAAATTAAACTAGAACAAAGGGAAATGCTAAGTAAAAATTACAGTTAAACCAAATTCTCAGTTAAGCAAAGTCTAAATAAACATTATATCACTGTGAAATCCAAGTTAGGACTTGTATGTCACTAATATTGAATTCACTTCAAAAAATGCTTCACAATCTACCCGAAATGAACTCAACACTAAAAAAATTTCTTTCATGAAGCAAACTTTATACCATTTGTGTATTTAGAACACAAACAAAAGAATCACCAGTAAAAGCCTTAAGGGTGTTTGTGCAAACGAAAGTACTCTATTATACTCAAAAGCTTTAAGAACTCTCACTAGTTGAAAGTAAAGAAAATAATGCAACCTGTTAAGCAGAAATCCACCAGGAGAGTTTTATTACTTCTTGTTTAAAATTAAATGGAAAAAAGAAAGCACCATAAGTGTGATGCAAGAACTTTAGAGTTTTTGCTGAAAGTTAGAAACAGTTAAGGGTCACACAAAATATAAGTTCTCAAACCCAAGCACTGCCTTATATATGCCAATGAATCAACATATCTGTAACATATGAAAAACAATGATTGGTTCTTGTTAGTTCAGCTGACCAAAAGTGAGTCCACTTGCAACTGTTATCTGATTCACTGACAAGAATTGCTCAAATCATTAATTAATTGCTTTGTTATTCTTGTAAAAGAATCAGATAAGTAAGTCTCGAATTATACATAGAATCCTGCTTACCATTTAGAGAAAGCTAAAATTAGTAACTCAAGTGAGCCCCACATTGCTTCTGAAAGGGGAACTAAGAAGAAACAGAACAATTTTGAAAATTTTTCTTTTTTTAACCAAAGGGGGTGGAAAATATGTAGTATGTCCTCATACTGCTTAATTAAAATGTCAAGCATTTTATTGTGAAATGTTCAGCTGTGTTGTTTGTATGAAGGGCAGTGTCTAAGTAGCAAAGAAAACACTTAGATAAATTAATAGCATTTGATTAATGGAGATATTAGAAATGAATTAGGTATTTTTTCTAAGCATTAAAAATGTGATATATATTAAGATATATATCTATATATATCAGTCATATATTTGTGGTGGTTTGGGTTGTCAAAAAGTGACTAGCTAACAATTTCTGGTAAGTTAGTCTTTCGGTTAAGTTTGTAGAGCACTGAACTAGAGTAGGGGTTGAAAAATTGTGGTTTTTTTGGTCGTCCAATATGACCATAATTTGTCTGCAATGACCAGTGTTTATCTTGGGGGACAACCTGACATGGACTGTTACTTTTGGAATTTGTCTCTGAAGAAAATGATCATTATTTGCAATAAAATATTTTTGAACATGGTTTTGTCTTGTGCTATGTGCACTAAACAAATATGACAAACCATGAATGTGTTTCCATACTTGTCAACAGATGTTACTGGTCAGAGTAACTCTTTAACTCTCATTTTATTTTCAAGTGTTTCAAGTCTCCAAAAACGTGTTTTGAAAGACAGTTTGTACAAAAAAAAAGTTTAATTCTAAAACCTAAAACCTTACCTTAAGAATATTTCAATTTTTTTTTTGAAATACTTATTGAAGCACATAAGTGTAGAAGCTTATATTGTTGATAATTTGTTCAATACTAGTAAAAGATATGAGTCTGCAGTACAAAATCTTATTATAATGGAGCTTTCGATGGATATGTCAAAAATTCGGATATCGGAAACTACCACACCGATCATCACCAATCATAACTGGATAACATTTTTATAACTAGGCAGTATTTATATAGTTGAGAAATAATTAAACCAATTGAAATTTCCACAAAGATTACATGTTTCAGATTTAATAAATAACAATTACAAACAAAAAGGAGTAAGTTTCAGATTTAACCCATAAAAATTACAAAAAAGTAGTAAGTTTCAAATATAAAACAATCAAAAAATAAACTTAAAAAAATTTGGTTTCTCTAGTGAATATCTCATGAATGTTGCAACAGAAAAGCAAGGCACTTCCATTGATAATTGCATCTACAAAGAAATACTTTAGTAAAATCTATTCTGTGATGTAGCTCATTTTTAACTTAAAATTTCAATAAAATTATTTTTCTTGTGAATGGTGAACATTATTGAATGTCAACAAGTATGAGTACATTGTTGTAGAACTGTTAGACAATTCCAAAAAAGGCCACATGCCCAATAGCCTTTAACAGGAATCAGCAGTTATACTTGCCTGGAGGGTGGGTATTTCTGCTATTATAACTAATGGACATTTTTGCCTTTTTCTGCTACTTCCCATGATTTTCATGGACAAAGACCCTTTGTGAGGGGATTAAAAGTGTCTTGCTGAAGTCTATCAAATTAATGGTAACTGTCAAAATTGGAGAGACTGTCTCACAAATGTGACAACTGATGGTGCCCCTGTAATGTTAGGAAATGAAAGTAGCTTTGTAGCTTTAATCATACAGGATAATTGTAAACATGTTATTGACTTCCACTGTGCCAACCATCATCTGGAACTGGCTATCAAGCATACAGTTAAGCAACTAGCATATGTGGAAAAAGTTAATGCAACACTACAGAACATATACAGATTTTACCACTACTCATCTCTTAATTGGGAAAGATTACAAATAAGTGGAAGCTCTACAAACGTCACAGTCCAAAGGTCAGTTAACATTGTAGGTACATGTTTGGTATTATACAGAGAAAGAGCCTTGAGAGCAGTGGTAAAGCACTTAAATCAGCTGACAGAAATAGACATAGGTGAAAAAGTTAGTAAGGCAAAGTGTTTGCCTATGACTCTTCAGTTAATGAAATTTGTTTTGACAATGAAACTTTTGATGAAGCTGTTCTCATGTCTCACTAATTTTAGTCTTGTGCTACAGTACAGACATTGATTACAAATGTTACTGCACTTAAACTAACACTTGAAAATTTTGATGTGGAAAATGAAGTATCTGAGCTGATGAAGTAGAATTACATTGATGAGAAAGCTCTTGTTCTGTAAACTGTGCCTCTGGCAGAGGCATGCATTGTCCTCATGTTCAATCTGTGCATAAAGATGGCAAGACCTTAGTGAATAAACTGCTAGGGCAAATCAACAGTAAATTTCAAAATTTAACTGAAGACTTGGTGATTAGCAATTTCTTAGTGTTTGACCCCCAACCATGGCCAAGAAAAGAGCACCTGCCCAAGTATGGTGTGCCAGAAGTCAAAGCTGTGACTGATCATTTCTGATTATTTCTTGTGAAGGACAGTTTCAACCCAGATAAGACTAAACAGGAATGGACTTATTTCTCATGTTTCTGACTTCTGGGCACAGAAGCTATGAGATGAGGATAGAAAGTAGGACAAACAGTACAATAACATTCTGGGTCTAATGATGATTATGCAGGTGTTGTACAGCTGAGGCAAAGAGAGCATTTAGCTTGATGGCCAGGATAAAAACTTATTGGCATTCACACTTTCATTCAGCATCACTCAGTTACCTTGTGACTATAAGGCTAATTAACAAAACCATGGCCTCATTTGATCCCCTTTTAGCCATTTCCTTGTGGCCACAGACAAGAAAGAAAAGTCAGAGATTGGTGAAAGCCTATGGACCTAGAAAAAAATGAGAAGCCGGTGGAAAGTATGTCAGATGATGGGATGATGGATTTATGTGATGATGAGCCAGTAGACATGTTGGATGAAGCAACAAAGTAACTTATTGGTTGAGGCACAGGAGATGTAAGAAGTGGCCATAGATATATAAAATTATTTCTAGATCTGTAATATTGTGAGTTTTGACGGATTTTGCATTGGGAAAGTCAATTTTCTATTTCTGAACCCTCATTTTTTTTTTCAACATAATTCTTGCATATACAGTGTTATGCTTGAAATGTTCAGGCATGAAAGAAAAGCAAGTAAATTTGTACAACAAAACATATTGTTTTCTGAATGACTGTTATTGTACAAGTACAAAGTAATAGCACAAATAAATACCATATAATATGGGATAAATAGATAACCATAAGAATAGTTAATTTTAATGTCACACCATCTGAAAATGCTTGGGATGACCAGAATTTGGCTATGATGACCTCACATTATTATTTTAGATCATCCTGCAGAACAACAAAAAAATTCAGAACGTTTCTGTCCCTGTAATGTATCAGAGGTTTTGGTTTAATTACAAGCTGAGGAAAAAGTAATTACAACAGATTTTTGTAATATTTAGTTATTATGTTTAGGTAATTTATTTTCATAAATTATATACAATTATTAAAACTAAATACATGTTGATAGGACAGTAGAGATTTACACATTGGTCTTTTCCAACAATACAAAATGTCCATGTGACATTAATTTATGTGCTCAAAAGAGGACTACACTTTCTCGGAATTACTATGATTTCTTTATAATCTTACTTGTACAGATTTTAAGTATAAATTATTAAAGTAGTCTAATCTCAATAAACACTTTGTAAAATGTTTCTCTGTTTAAAGCAATGAGATCCTACCTGGGGGATGCTCATATTGATGTGTGTATCACAATATTTTATGTTTGGCTTTGTTTTGCACTTTCATGTTCCTATTTCCATTACCAAGTATGGATTCTTCATTGTTTTTAAATATCTAAAGTTATAGATTTTTTTAATGTACTTATTAAAGAAAATATTTTTTTAGCTCTTTCTTCAGACAGTTAACTCGGCTCGATCAGCATATGCCTGTTTATGTCTCAGTCCTCATTTTTTTGCTATCTATGAAGAAGGAAGTGGAATAAAGTGGAAAGTGGCAATGAAAGTAAGTTACTGTTTCAAAAAATATCAATCATATAACTTGAAATTTGTCAAAAAACTGTATAACAAAAAAATTACTCCAACACTTGGTTTTATATTACACAATTTCTGTGTAGCAAACAAATTTCTTTTATAGATGATACTTAGGGTAGCTTCTTGTATGTATAGCTTTTTGTTCGTACTATGGAGTATCTAAGTTGTTTGTTGTTGAATTCAAGCTCATGATTCTTATTGTGGAATTGCAAATGACTTGGTTACAATGGTTGAACAATATAAAAAATATATACATAGATGTGTATATATACGTGTAATATGTAATCTCATATTTAGTATTTTTTCAGTTATATAAACAAGTTGAACTCAAACAGTAAATTTACAACTGAATAAATTATAGTTTTGTGTACAATAAATGTTGTTAACTAATGTGTGATATTTAGTGATAGATTGCTTTAATGAATATTCTATTATTAAGTTATATTCTAATATTGTTAGCAATGTTGTCAAAGTTTAAAAACTTCATTGTTTTCTCTTATTCAAATGAGCTGACAAACTTGCTATGACATAACTTTAGTGCTCCTGATATATAAAAAAGGTGCAAAATAAGTAATGGTATAACTTGAAACTAAAGATTTTTCATCTATTTGTCATCTGTATTAATAATAACAAATTTTACAAACTTTTAAGGGAAAAAAATATAAATATTTACACTTTTGAAATATTCTTTTCATTTATTTTCATATGTGTATATGTTACAGTTTAAAAAGGTGGAAAAGTGTGTACTAGAGAGTTTGTTTATAATGTAGTTCAACTTAAAATGTAATGATTGCATGTGTTGCTGGTTTCCATTTGTAGTCCTGTATGATGGCATTTAAGTCTCTCACTAGTCTGGAGAAAAATGTAGACAAATGTTGTTTGGAGCTTGGAACTAATGAAGACAAATTAATTGTGCAACTGCATCAAAAACATGGTATGAATAAAACTCCAACCGATCTTTTCGTGATTATATGTTTGCAACAAATGAATTATAATTTAATTTACACTAATATAATTTTTAGATTTAGATTTTTTTTTAGTGAAAATTAATTTGTTTAAGGTTTTGTATATTGCATTTTTGATTTTAGGTTTGTAGTGTTTGTGTATTGTTCACCACAGTTTCTTTAAAATTTTGACATGTTTAGTGTAGCTTCATGATTCAAGAGTCTTGGTTTGATTCATAATGCCACAAAACTTGCTTGCTCTTTTATTTTGGGGAATTTTATAATTGTTTCTTTGTTTTTGAGTTATGACAAAGCTAGTAAGGTTATCTTCTGCAATTCCTAATTTTGAGTTGTTGTTCTGAGGGAAAGCAACTACCTGACAGCATCCACCACCAACTCTTAGGACATTTTAATGTTAAATATAGTGAAATTTACTATTTTTTTGACATTGTATTACATTTATAATTTATTATTGCATAACTGATTTTAATGTGAAATAAGGTGTAAAATCTGTTTTTATATTGTGTTATATTGGCTTTTATAACTGATATAACTTTATTCTTTAGTGTTGAATAAACTATTAAATTAAAAAAAAATATATTAATTTCCATAAAGGTTTCATAATTAACAATTTGTTTCATATGTTTGAAAATTCTTAAAATAAATACTCCATGTAGCAAGCTCAGATATTTATTTGTTTTATGTTATGTATGAATTTCGGTATTGTTGGTCAGCTGTTTATGTGTTTTGTAAAATAATTTTATTTCCAACAATGAAGACATGTTCTATTATGACACCTGATATAGGTGTATGGCCCAAACCAGTTATGTTTTTGAAAATCTTTGACTTGTGAGATTGTTTACTTGAGGTTATAATTTCATACAAAAAGTTGTTGAAAAATTATGAGTAATATATATATTCATTCTCAAAAATTCAGTCATTTTAGTACTGTTGCGTCATCGAGTCACGTGACTACTGTGACGCAACGTTTCTAGAACTATCATGTACTTTGGCGAATGTTCTAGTTCTTACTAGATATAGGGTAGGCTGGTATATAAAAGAGGGGAATGTAATGTCTGTATAGACAGTGAGTAATTGAACTGCAGTCAGAGAGCACGAGAGACGTTACAGCGTTTGTTTAGCGCGATTGTTGAAGTTGAGTGTATCGGTAAAGTTGTATTCGGAAAGAATAAACCAGTTTTTATTAAGAAAGAACTTGTGTCGCTTAAGTTTCGTCGGAACGAAGTTACGGAAAATCAATTGACAAACGGAGACGTAACAGTACAATAGTCTTATGGGAATTTGTAGGGATAAGTCCACAGAATGCTGTTAATCATATTTTCAGCTTGTTACAGATTTTATGCTGTTTTGCGTGTGTGGTGAATTATCATGTATAACAGTTTATGATTAACAAAATAACTTAATCCTAAATTATTGTCCTGAAGGAGGGTTTTCTCTGACTTTTCACATTTTTAAGTTTTAAATCAATTTGATGTCATTTTTTAAAACTTATTTACTTTGATTTATGAAAGCAAATAATCAAATTTTTATTTATGCACAGTTCTGAGAAGTTTCACCTGTAAGCAATTCACTTGTAATTTTTATGCCCATCTCAAAGAACTACTTCAGTTTTGCTAATCATTTCTCACCCCTTGAGAGTATATTATCCATTTCTTGATTTACAAGTATTTGTCTTCTCTTTTTCTGCTTTGTTTTAGTAAAGGCCTTAGTTGATATCTTTTTATGATAATGCTTGGAGATGGCTTGAATGGGTAATGAAGAAAAACTTTAATGTAAGTTTAACATAACAGCAAATGTACAATGTT